TTTGAAATAGTATTTCAACATATAATCAATAAAAATTTTAAATTTTTTTGTAATATGAAGTCTTTAATGTCTGGTATAAATTTTTTTTGCTTATAACAGTTTAGGCTGGGTACAGTGGCTCATGCCTATAATCCCAGCACTTTGGGAGTTCAAGGCGGGAGGATTGCTTGAGCCCAGAAGTTGAGACCAGCCTAGGCAACATAGCAAGACCTCTTCTCTACAAAAAAAAAAAAAATTAGCTAGGTATGGTTGTGCACACCTGTAGTTCCAACTGCTCAGGAAGCTGAGGTGGGAGGATCACTTGAGCCCAGGAGTTTGAGCCTGTGGTAAGCCTTGATTGTGCCACTATACTTAGCCGAGGCAACAGAGTGAGACTTTGACTCAGAAAAAAGAAAGAAAAGAACATATTTTAGATCAAACTAGCCATGTTTCAGGTGATCTGCTACATGTGAGTTGTGGCTACCATGTTAGATGGCTTAGGTTGTAATTGTTAGGCAGTTTTTTTTTGCAGTCCACTCCCTCTGACCCACACTGTTATATTAAGAATGTTATATATGTTATTGCATTTAGGCAACTGTAATAGGTTGAATTTGATTATTTAATTTCTGTCCAAAATCACATCACAAAAATGCCTTGATGATAGAAAGATCCTTTCTTGAAGCACGTCTCCCTAGTCTCAGTTACCTGACAACCCTCAGTGGATATAGGTGAATATTTTGGTTGAAGAATAGAGAAGATAGACTTTTTAAAAACAATTTTTGTGTCAGGGTTTGTGTCACCCAGGCTGGAATGCAGTGGCACGATCATATCTCACTGTAGCCTCTAACTCCTGGGTTCAGGCAATCCTTTTATCTCAGCCTTGCAAGTAGCTGGGACTACAGGTGTTTACCACCATGTTCAACTTATTTTTTAATATTTTTTTAGAGACAGTGTCTCCCTATGTTGCCCAGGCTGGTCTCAAACTCCTGGGCTCAAGCATTCTTCCTGCCTCGGCCTCCCAAAGTGCTGGGATTATAGGAGTGAGCCACCATGCCCAGTAGAAATAATTTATTTTAAAATGGAATAATAATTTCACTTTCATCTTACCAGATCATACTGTTGGGGTTGAGTTTTTTTGTTTTGGGGAGATTTGGGGTTTTTTGGTTTGTTTGTTTTGAGTTGGAGTCTTACTGTTGCCCGGGCTGGAGTGCAGTGGCATGCATGCTCATGGCCTCACAGCCTCGACCTGCTGGGTTCAGGTGATCCTTCTGCCTCAGCCTTCCAAGTAGCTGGAACTACAGGCATG